TAGCAAATGTGGTACTATGCACGACTGAAATTTTACGTTTATAATCGTAGCAACAGACCTCAGATGAGCCCAGACGCTCTGCGGCTCTTGTTTGCATCATTCTTTGATATACGGAAAGTGATGCAGAAGTTGATATGCGTAGTGTGGAATGTGACCATGCGCAACCACCAGCACCATCAGCAGACTGTATGCATTCAACTTCGGAGATAGCTGAGTTCGTGCGTGACGTCAGTGTACGTCACGAGGATACTTTGGTTCATGGAAACATATGCCCACCATGAAGTACTAGTGGGTTGGATCGAATCGAAAATACGGGAAAAAGTATCGAGGATCGGATCGAGGGAAGAGAATCGCGATTCGATTCGATTTCGGTGGATCGTTACAGCTCTAGTAGCACGTAGGGTTAGGGTTAGGGTTATGTTACAGAGGATAATGTACATCTCAGCTGCCAAGTGTAAATTTTAACAAGTGGTCCCTTCAAAGTGTAATCGAACTTGTGCTGATGCTCTTATGATTTTTATTTAAGAGGAACAAGATCCGTTTGGATTTTTGGAGCACAAGAAGCGAGGGCTAGCAGGCAGCAGACAGGGTCAAGTTGTTTGGGCAGTCAACAGCTTGCAACTATTCACCCAGCGTACGTTACTCCGAGTATTAGGAAATAATTATCTCGAATTAAGACACAAAATCTGTCACACGTATACTATAATTTTGTTTCATAATTAACTATTATTTTTGTTTTATAATTAATTTTAAAGACATTTAGGATCAACAAAGTGAATGGTTGTCATAGGTGCTCATAGTGCCCTGTATCCCAATTGTCTTCTTATCAAATAATTTTCTGTAGCACATAATTTTAGAGTCTTTTTGTTGTCATATTGAGGCCATAATAAAAATATTGTTTGTTTGCCCTCACCCGACTTACCCGCCAAAAAGGGGCCGCAGAGATGCCAACCACTACGATTTATCCGTATTTTATACGAATTTCTATTCCTTTTGCACCACTACGACCAGTTTGTATCAAACTACGAATTTCACTGTGATCGAAATTTTTTTTGTTTTTGTTATTTCTTGTCAATTTCTTGTCATTATTGACCCTCAGCATGCAGGAAATTGCATCTCAGAATCAAAATTTTTTTCCGGGGGGCATGCCGGACCCCTCTAGCAAACTCGGGTCATTACGACAAGACCCTTGAACTACTAATTTGATGGCCAGAAACTACAGATTGCTTTAAATATGTGTTGGCATCTCTGGGGCCGACTCAAACATTTTTATTGATCTTTCCCATTCTTTTTTTTTTTTGCAAGGGCACATGCGCAGCATGCGCAGTAGTCATCTGCGCATCTCGCCCATCGAAAACGGTCGCAATAAACAAACATGGCGGCCAACCCGGTCACTCATGGAAACATTTGATTAAAACAATTTGCAATGTAGTAAGTTAGTAAGACTGTGTTATGTGTGTCAGGTTACAAGGCGAAACAAAAAGAAAACAAAAGAGCATGGCTACTATTTCGTACGGCCCTGGAGACAAGACAAGAGAAAAACAAAAGAGCATGCGCGCATGCGCACTCTTAGGAGCGTTCAGTTTCGGGAAAGCGTCCAAATACTACGGTACACCGGCATAAAATTTGTGGCGTCAAAAAGATGTTAACCTTGTAATAATCATAATGTAATATACTAATAACTTATTTCATGCAATGTGCGATAACTTCACAGCACCTATGTGCAAATTGAAGAAAGATTTCTGCTATCGTTTCTTGTTCAAGTTTCGTATATCACGGCGAACGTCCACTCTCCTATACGCCCAGCATGGCGGTCACCAAACTTTGAAATTCCTGATCGGTTCTCGTCAGCGCCTCAGCAAATCAAACAATGGCAAGCTACTACGCATCCTGGCGCATGTTATATATGGCCGGTCATACGCGAGGCTTATATGTTAAACATGTCTACACATAGGTAGCATATATAGAAATATCAATAAATTCGTTCGTGAGATATGATAACTCGTCCACTTTCCCACCGTGCATAGCCCCGCGTATGACCGGCCGTATATAATGTGCCAGGATGCGTAATAGCTTGCCATTTTTTGTTATGTTGAGGCGCAGATGAAAACCGATCAGGGATTTCGGAGTTTGGTGACCGCCATGCTGGGCGTGAGAAACTGGACTTTCGCCCGTAAATGTACTAAGTATTCGTAGCACTGGGCATAGTATTGCTAGTGGTAACAGTAATGGTTGTGGTGTCACCAGCAAATTATAGTGGTAGTATTTTAGTTCTGTTTCTTTATAGTACTTGTGTCAGTAGTTATAGCGACCTTATAATTGTGTCCACCCTGTCTGTGTGAATGGACTTTGTTACCTATGATTGTTAGTATCAGAAGCTATCATGATGTAGGATAAGCATGAATCATTCAGCTAATAACTATGATCATGGACACATATACACTATATAGTATGAGTCAGGGGTCGAAATTCAGCCCTAAAAAAATACTTTATACGCAGAGCTCTTTTTTTGATTTTGTATAAAAAAAGAGGGCTCTCGTAAATTTTGCTTTACGGGAGCTATTTTGGCCTTAGCCAGAGCTACTTTTTCATTGAATGATTTTTGTTAAATTTTCATTAAATGTTTTGATGCATCTGACTCTAATCAATGATTATAATGTCTTCAGAAGCAGAACATTGTGTCTCATTATCGTAAAAGGTGCTTCTCCAAACAAAATAGTCAAGAATTATGCTTTGGGCGAAATCGACGAGGTCATCAAATTATTCCTAATGGTGACAAAATACGCGAGGCCGGCCGGTTTACATGTGGCTGTATGCATTTTTGTGCTACAGAGTAATGACTGCATGCACTGAATTGTCTCATTCGCCATTGCTTTTTATTCAAAATCTCGTTATGTCTAGCCATTCAATAAAGACAACAAACTTGCTTAGCCCGAGAACGGGAAGTGCCAATTTCAAGCTACCGCCCGCGTCGGAGAATTTGGTTGCCAGCCGCCGGCATCTTTGGGTGCGGGCATCGGCAAGCGGGTTTTTGTCGAGCCGGGCACCGCAAGGTTCGAATTCGGCTGAAAAATCGTAGTGCGACGAACAGGACCACCAACTTCAGAAAGTTGGCTGGGACCTGCCACAAATTTGGTGGTCGAGCTTAATTTACTAGGCAGCTGCGTAACAAATAGTCTAGAAAAAAAAAAAAAAAAAAAAAAAAAAAAAAAAAAAAAAAAAAAAAAAAAAAAAAAAAAATGATAACCATGGGAATTAAAACATGCATACCGCATAACCAAATTGACAAATTTAACAACATTGACAAATAGTGTTCTTCATTAACTCCTGGAGTAAACTTAATTATGAGTTGCGTCAAATAACTGTTTCATATCTCTAGGAATGTCGGGGAGCTTTCTGGTAAAGGTTTACTTTCGTTTTTCTCTTCCCAG